AGAGAGAGAGAGAAAGAGAGAGAGAGAGAGAGAGAGAGAGAGAGAGATATTGGAGAGCTATATCATGCTTCTTGCTTTTTTTCCTGTTATCCTGTCAGAGGCTTACTCTCACCCCAGTTTGGCTATTCAAACTCAGTGTAGTTCCTGAAGGTGGATTTGTTGTGGGAAATTCTATTTTTATTATGTCTCTCAGAAAGTACAGATGCTCCAAGTTCCATTTGATTTAAGAGCTACTTGTACTATGGGAAAATTGAAAATACTAGACTAGAAATCAGTTTCAATTTGATCGGCAGCCCATTAATTCTATGGTCTCTCTCCAATGACTGAGATTTGAGACCCAGTTTCTTTGTTAAATGGAGATGTGAGTAAGACTCACTCCAAAAATGTGCTTGTGCCACTTAAAGGAGTTAACTTGAAGATTTTAAAATGTTGCTTAGCAAAAGCTGAAACGATGGGTCAGTACTTAATACACTTGCTGCACAAGGCATGAAGACAAGGATTTGGATCTCAGTAGCTGCTGTATAAGCTGTGTGTTCTGAGCATGCCTGTAACCCCAGCCTAGAAAGGGAGCAGAGATAGGAAGGTTGTGGGGTCTTCCTATCTTCTACCCTATCTTTGAAAATTCAAAAACCATGTTTAGGGAGAGACCCTGCCTTAGGGAAATAGAAAGAAAGTGATAGAGGAAGGCATTCTTGCTCTCTTCTGGATTCCATACATGTGGATACTTACACACATGGGTATATGTACACACACTCACATGCACACACACACACACACTCACACGGTGAAGTTTTTTTTATTAGTTAATTATGTTATCTATTTACGTCCCAAATGTTGCCCTCCCTCCTAGTCCCTCCTTGCGGAGTCCTTCCCCCATTCCCTCTCCCCACTCTGAGAGAGTCCCTCCCCACCAGAAAGTCTTAAAAATAAAAAGAATGGTAATTTATTTCTCCACAAACACCTACCTACTACTACCACTAAAAGTCATTTTGTTAGAAGCCAGTACTTAAGAACTCTGCCCCTGTTTCTGGCCAGTCTTTCCCCTCAGTGTCAGAACTAGTGACCTAGATCACATGACTGAGAAGCTGGAGTTGCAGCCAGGTGGAGAGGTTGCTTGGATTCATGGGATAGAAGGATCTGGGCTTGCATTCCTGGCATGGTTTTAGGATCCCAGCCTGGCCTGGCTCTGTGGCCTGTGGCATTGAGAGTCACAGATTGCATCATTCTTCGTATTTATTTCTCCCTAGAGGAAGGCAGAGGCTCTTCTTTGTTCAATTAGGAGTGGTGGGCAAGGCTGAGCAGTGAAGCAGGGCAGCTGTCAGGAGAATTCAGGCTGGAGCAGGCTCAACGGGGAGGAACCCAGGGAAATGTGATATGTACTACCCAAGTCACTCCCTACGCCTGCTCCTCCCGGGTCCAGCTGCTCAGGAGAAGGGAGGAAGCTAACATTTTCCCTCTGCCATTGTGTTCTGGACAGGTTCATCAATCTCTGCTTATCTCTCCCTCGTAGTCACTCTAGCTGGTTACCGGCCTTCTTTATGGAAGAGGAAGAGGAAACTCAAGGGCACACAGAGAGGCAAGGGCAACGTCCTTCGATTCACATACAAGATCTGAGACTCCTAAGCCCCTGCTCCTTATGTCACTGGATAAATCCTGCTGGCCCAGCCAGGCAATTGCCAAGAGCATCTGGCTTCTCATCAATCACTGCAACCCATGGCAGGAAGAAGCAGAAATAAACCTACAGGCAGGGGTTCCTGGAATTAAGAGCCGAAGTCATCGGAAGATCAAGCCTGTGTCTGTATCCTGGCTCAGATATTTCTCACTCTCTTCCCACCACCTCTGTCCCTTAGCCTTACTGCCCCCTGTAACCCAAAATGCCATGGACAGAACGTTGCCTGGAGAAGGCACCTGTCCTGGTGCCAGCCCAGCATGCTTGGCCTTAACAACAATTGCTGGAAGGGCCTCTTAGAGCAAATACTTCCTGAAGTGCCCAGAGCAGCCACTGTCCCTGTTGCTCAGGAACAATCACAGCACATACCAACTTCCGTGTTGTGCTCCGTTTTCCAGTCTCATGGGCCCGCTGCTGAAGCACTGAGTTCTCTTCAATAGGCAGGCCGATGACATTCGTAGGAAGCCAAGGTTCAGACTAGGAAAGGACCTAAACATTCTAGGATGACATTAGATTTTTTTCCCCAAAAAATATATTCAGAGGGGAAAGAAATCAGAATTTCTAGTTTTTTAATTCTTCCTACAAATTCATTGCCTCTTCCTTTGTCTTTGTCTGTCATCTTTCTTTCTACATTGAAAACAAAGTGGGAAGGGCTTGGGATTTACCTCGGTGGTAGAGCCCTTGTCAAGTATATCTGTCACACACACACACACACACACACACACACACACACACACGTGTTCGAGGGGGGTACAGAGACAGAGAGATAGAGATAGAGTTAGAAGGAGGGAAGAAATTCAATGTGGATATTCATATTTATATGGGAATGAAAGCACCTCTGTCAAGTTCCAAGTATCACTATGTGACATTACCCTGGGCAGCTTGAGCCCCACCACTGTACACTGCTGGAGATGGCCTGAAGCCAACAGGTGAAACCGAGGATTTCTGTGAGAGTGTTGGGGAGTGTGGCACATGGTGACAGAAGCATGGAAAGCAGAGACCACTGACTGTCACCAAATGGCCGAGGAATCAGGACAACTGGCTGCAGAATGTGAAGGAGAGGACATTAGATTTGGGACTATATGAACAAATGGATACTTTTAAACAAATGTAAAAAAGGTTCATGAAGCCACAAGACTACACGAGTGATGTAATCCTCAGTCTCTGGCTTTTAGCTTACCTGGTTTAGTTACATTTTTGGGCCGGTTAGTACTGTGTCTCCTTGGCTAAGCGGTTAATCAACTTTATAATTCAATATTCCTGTTATTAAATGATGAAGAGGACAATTAAGGAGCTACCTCATGCTTTGCGGTAGAGACTTTAGAAGTGTAAAGTGCTGGAACCGTACCTGGCAGACGGCAGAGATACTATGATTCAGAATGGGCGAGGAGTGGGGCATAGGGAGAAGAGACTTCAAGAGTCAATCCTAGTCCTACACTCGTCTAATGTTTTTTATGAAAACAGCAGTACATAAAGCCCAGCTTCTGCTTTCAGTGAACTTCCAGTGCTGAATTGCTGAACAACTTGTATCTAGAAACCAGACCCCTGGGTCCAAATCTCATAACTTCTGTGTGGTCATGGACAAATCATCATCTGTATTCTTTGAGCCCATTCTTCTCATGCGTAAAAGGGGCATGGTCATAGACATCCTTTCTTGGATTGGGGCGAGAATGGGCTGAGATCCTGTATGCCAGCGACAGAAAAGATACAAAGCTAGAAAAAGTGAGAAAGTTGTCAAGAAACTGAACAGATATAAACACAAGAGAGATGCCACTCAAGGACCAAGTTGCTGTCCCTACTACATGTCCCTCTATTTTGTATCTTTTATTCCTATGTGTCGATCACCCATGAAGTCATGGTTCATATCTCTTTATCCATACATGTATCTGCAGTACTATCTTCTTCACAACAAGCCAATACAAATTTACCAAAACGAACACATAAACACAAATGCTGCCCAGGATAGGACTCTTAAACGCTGGAACCTGTTCCGGCAGCTCAAGTAACAGCCAAAGAGTGTGATCTTTTTTCCAAGGTCCCCTTGCATCTCAGAGGTGAAGCTGCATAATTTGAGGTCCTGGTCCTTTGCCAGGGCAGCACTGTAACTGATGCGTCCACTGTGGTGAACCTGAGGGCTGATTAAGAGTTTATGTAAATGTTGAAGCTTTTGGCAGCACTCTTTCCTCTCTGATTTTGACATGATCAGGGCGGGAGAAGTTTTCAAAGAGCTCTGAGAGAACACCCACACCCAACGATGGAAACCTTAGAAGAAAGGACCACAGAAGAGCACTCCTCAGCAGGGATTAGGGGATACTGAACAGGTTTTCAGAGGCATATGAAGGCAAGATGTCAGCATGAGCTTGTTTCTCTGATGGAATCTGAAATGCTTTTAAGCAGAGGGTTCCTAAGCAGCTTTTAAGTGGAGAGGATAGCATTGCAGATTCATAAATAAATGGAGGTCTGGGGTGATTTCTTTGGGGTTCCTGTGTAAGGGTGAACCTTGGGATGAGCAAATTAGGCCTTGAATTAGCAGCCTACAAGTTTCTTTCTGCTTTGTAGATCAGCAAGCAGGAGGCAAGTGAGCACTGGGTTAAGAGACTAAAGATGCCTCATACCCTTACCTAATCCTGGCCTTCTGACCTCGACTCTGAGGAGGAGACTCTTAGGCAAAATATTAACCACTCTCAGTGACAGTTTCCTCATCTGCCCAATGAGACTAAATAACCCTTGTCCATTCTTTTTATAAAACTGACTCCTAGCTCTGGTAGCTAAACCTCGCCGAGCCCTGGCTGTGTGCCAGTCCTTGTATGACCTGCTAGTTTTCACAATCTGCCAGGAGACACAGATAATCTACACATTTAGCCTGAGAACATCTGGCTAATAACGGTGGAGCTGGGATTTGAACACAGGCTACTTGACTTTGGAGCCAGATCTATTGGGTATGCATGCTGTACTCTCCTACCTCTGGGGAGATGGAACATGTCAGACAGGGCCTTGAAAGGAAGAAAGCCCAGTTGTTTGGTAGCTGACCAGGATCTCAGCAAGTCTTCAATGGACAGGAGAAAGTCATACTACCAAAGGTTGACAGTTTGTGTTCACAATAATTGTTCCCTTAGCTTTGAATTTTTTATGACTAGTATTAGAAAATGAAACTGCATAGATACTGAGGTTGGAGATACAGATAGATTTAAATCCAGGCTTGATAGCCTAGATTAATTCTTGATTGGAATATCTCAATTCACTTTAAGACCAGGAGTATTAGCCGGGCGGTGGTGACACACGCCTTTAATCCCAGCACTTGGGAGGCAGAGGCAGGTGGATTTCTGAGTTCGAGGCCAGCCTGGTCTATAGAGTGAGTTCCAGGACAGCCAGGGCTACACAGAGAAACCCTGTCTCCAAAAACCAAAAAAAAAAAAAAAAAGACCAGGAGTATTAAGGTTGTGGAGTTGTTTGCATTTAGATTATACTAGATGTGTGGTATATGGTAATAAACAAGTTTCTTCCTTTCTCGTTTTATCACAGATCTAATAAATTAAATTTGTTTGATGCCAATCACATTATGAGACCTTCTGAAGATATGTTTGTTCTTTGGAATCTTTAGATAGCCTGTATTTGAGGTTGAAAGTGGTTTTTGTTTGGTTTTGTTTTATGTCAGGGTAAATGATAGTTTTCCAGATTCACTTCCTACAGTGTGATCCATTTTTTCTTGTCCTTTAGTCTGAGGCAAACTATCATTTCTAGTGTTGAAGTTATAGTCTGAGCCTCATTTCAATGATGAGCTGATATGGACATGGACCATGTGGCCAAGGGGTGCTTTTCGTAGGCACCACTTTTGTTTGGCTCAGTATCTGATCTTTAGGAATTTGATGGACCCAGCTAACATGAGAGCTTCTATCCAAGAGTCACAATTTTAAGGGATCCAGAAGACAAATGCATGGAATCCATAGGCTCCATGCAGTTAAATGTCAGAGAACTGTGACACACCATCCAGTCAGAGCTAAGAAGAATGGAAACTATGCTGAATGACAAAATAGTAACAGTGTACAGATAGCCTGAGGTAGATCTCTGTGACCAGAATTGATGGAGAAGATGGAAATGGGTGAATGACTCCTGGATGATTTAAAATCAGATGGTGGTTCAGACGTTTGACAGGCATCCAGATAAATCTTGCAGTGCCATGGCTATATCAGACTGGCAGTGATCATTCAGGGATTCTACATTAGGAAGGAGAATTGCCTGGTTCTTGGTGCCTATTCATGATTGGATGATAGTGGTATATATTTGATAATTAATGTGGACCAAAAACTGTGAGCATACAATTTTCTTTAATCTTTGTAACAATCCTATAATATAGGGAACTGCTTTTACTGCCTCACTGGTGGAGAACCTGGGGCTCAGGAATATGGAATGACTAACTCTCTAAGTTCAGTAGCCAAAAGCAGACCCTCCCAGGGCACTTATGCTTTACGTTTGGCTTCCTCTCAGCTTTTTTTTTTTTCTGCTAGGCTTCTAAGTTTTATATACTCTCATCTTTCTCATCCTGGCCTCCCTGGTGGGGTCCTAGAAAATCTTGTGATATAACTGGTACAGGAAATTTTATCCACTGCCCCCTTTCCTCTACTTCCAGAAGTGTGTGTGTGTGTGTGTGTGTGTGTGTGTGTGTGTGTGTGTTTAGGTCAGAGGAGGACATTAGATGTCCTGCCTGCTTTGTGACTCTCTATCTCCCTTGAAATAGGGCCTCTTGAGAATCCAATGCCTGCTGAATTTTAGTTAAGATAACTGACTAAGATTCTCCCTTGATTCAACCTTTTCTGTCTCCTTTAGAACCAGACTTATAGATGTACACAGCCTTGCCTGGCCCTTATGTTGGTCTTCAGGATCTGAACTCAGGTCCTCATGCCTGCATACCAGGCTTCTTCCTCATTGAATCATCTTTTTTTTTTTTAATTTTATTTACATCTGTGTTCTGCCTCTGTGTAAGTCTGTGTGAGCCAGTGTACTTCCTCACTTTCTGGTCCTCTTAGAAGGGTTTCTAACCAGCACTGGAATTTCAAGGGTGAACTTGTGTGTCCCTCACAAACATGACCCATCTTCAGACAACTGCTGGTATTTTGGGACAGAAAGTCAACCTTTTATCATTCTACATTCATCAAATAATGTGCTTGTCTACCAAGAGCTGCTCCTACTT